TAAACGCTTGTACATTCTATGAGCCACTATGCCGCGGCTAAAAAAATATTAGGATTGAGATCAGACTGGAGATTATAAATTACTATACAAATCGTGTAAACAGTTTCTCTTGTGGATTTTGTGGTCGTGATTTTATAACGAATAGTTAACAGTTGAAAATTATAACAATATAAAGGCATGCAACACCTTTCGAATGTGATAGTAGAAATAAAATTTAATGGGTGCAAATGCTTTCGAAAACGTGATCGATATCGTAAACTGATTGTAGATGTTAATTAGTCTTGAAAGTTGTCCATCGTATTTTTGAATGAATGGTGTCAACTTGTTTTTGTTGGAGGTATTTCTTTTTGTTGTTGTTTTTGTGTGTGTGTGTGTTTCATGGCTAGAATGTGTAACTTTTGATACCCAGTTGTTAACGTCCAGTGTGTTTCGGACAAAGTTAAAACATGGTTATTAGTGTCATTATGTATCATATTTACCTTGGAAGTGGATCAAACTTGATGTTATGCAAAATATGTGTGATCAGAAAAATCAGCCACTAAAAAATAATTGCACTCTTAAAGCGTTTCAGACTTCTTCTGTGCACGTTTGATAACTTAAACAAAACTAGATTGAACTGTTTTGAAAAAATTAACGATTTCCTCTTTATTGAAACTAGACCTCGCTCTCTCTCTCTGGGCCCCTCATGACTTGACTCGCAATCTGAGGGTCGCGGGTTCGAATCCCCGTTCCACCAAACATGCTTGCCCTTTCAACCGTGGGGGCGTTTATAGGTGACGGTCAATCCCATTATTCGTTGGTAAAAGAGCAGCCCAAGAGTTGGAGGTGGGTGGTAATGACTAGCTGCCTTCCCTCTAGTCGTTCACTGCTAAATTAGGGACGGCCAGCGCAGATAGCCCTCGTGTAGCTTTACGCGAAATTCAAAAACAAACAAACAAAAAACATCTCCCTCTTACTTTGTAAAAATTTAATCAAAATCGGGAACATGTTATGTGTATGTGTTTTATCGGGCTATCTGCTGGCTCCACCGAGGGAAATCGAACCCCTGATTTTAGCGTTGTAAATCCGTAGACTTACCGCTGCCACACCGGGCCTACCGATTACCGTGTCAGGACTGTGAATTCGAATATTTATGGTTTGTGTCCCTTTGCCGTGGGTGTACCGTAAGAGCGACGATTTAATTCCTCTGTTCAGTCAGACCCCACCCACCCCCACCCCACCCCAGTGGCACAGCGTTATGTCTGCGGACTTACAACGCTAGAAACCGGGTTTCGATACCCGTGGTGGGCAGAGCACAGATAGCCCATTGTGTAGCTTTGTGCATAACTACAAACAATCAAACTGTTCAGTCAAACGAGAATAGTGGATTATGTTGGCTACCTTTTCTGTAGTCCATCTGCCCAAAATTAGAGACGGCCATGCACATGAAGCCCCTTGTGTAACTTGAGCGGAAAGTCTGAAAGTTAAAATGGCCCTCTATCGAAATAATTCAGAAACTAACCTAAGTGGCATCACGCCTTTTTTTTTTTTTTGTATTCATTTCAATTGTGAAAGTATAAAAATTTGGTATAAATAATAATAATAATTTTAAAACACTTCAGAAAAACTTCCACTTCGAGTCTTTTTCTCGTACACACAGAAACAAAGCTTCGTGCTTGAATTTTACCTAATTAGAGAGGCACTTTCTGGGGTGGTTTCCTTCCAAGGACAATGCTGTAAAGCCAGGTATTGCCCCCACCCACCCAAAAAGAAAATTGGTTTCATCTGTTCACTTTGTACTATGTGTTGTATTGATTTTTAGTTCTTGATACTTCTTAGATTTTTCACTTTTTTTTTTCTATAACTCAGACAAAAGTGATCGGATTTTAATGTAACGTAGTGGACATATGTAGAATATTATTCCTCATTATCCTGCCAAAAATGGACCGTATTCGTTGAAAATGGTGGAGATACGGACACATTTTCGTATTTTGTAAGGGCCTAATATGATCAATGCTGCGTAGCGGAAATATGCACTCTACTGAGTGCCCTTCTAGTTAAAAAACGTATTCTTGCAAAATCTGTTTGACACAAATAACGTGTGTGTGTGTATGTGTTTTTTGCTTAAAATATGTTCTTATGTCTTAACACCCTTGTAGTTCTTGTGTAATGTAAAAACACGTTTTCAGTACATAAATGTTTACAATTCGACACAGCGCTTTACCATAGTGATCATTGTTAATAATATTTCAGGCATAAAAGAACATGAAATAGTCAATTTTTCTTACGTTTAATTCAATCCTGTCTAAACAAGATACGTTTTTTTTTATTTGTGTTTGAAATTAACTCTCTTTTCTTCTGTTTTATCACTAGGAGATAAAAACTGACCCTTAGGAAGGCCAACAGTAATTCCGGACACAAGTTGATTAACGTGTATATAGTATTACTGGCATGGCCGTGTCACGTATTCCTTCCCCACCTCCAAATAATGAAGCTAGTACACCTATGGCGGAGAGTTGGTGTTACACTCAGGTGAGTTTAAACAAACTTTGATGATGATGTAATGCTGAGTAAGTAAAAATATTAATTTTTTTCAATACGCTTGATAATTATGCAGAACATTTTTTTTTCTTGAAATAATAAGTAAATGTCTGGTTTGTTTACCTTCAAATGTTTTGCTGAGGAGCTTGATGGAATCCAAACTCTTTATATTCCTATATCAGATTTTTGCATTGAATTATCCGTTCTATTAGTTGAGACAGAGTAATCGTTTATAGAAATTATAAAATATTGAAAAAAGAAAATGTTGGGGGGCTTCCAGACAATCCTACGAAGAAGAAAGCTATGTATAAATATATTTTTTTTCTGTATAAAAAAATAATCATTTATTCTGAGCACCAATGCGATTTTCGAGCATTCGTTGGTGTAATGTGTGTAAAGTATGGTCGTCACTCGTTTACCTACATACTAGCGTGGCCAGACAGTGAATCCGAAGATTTAGAGATTGTGTCCAGTTGCGTAAAAAAAGTGAGCTTTGCACTTTGGTGCATGAGTGCGTTTTTATAAGAGCGATGGTCAAATACCGCTGTTCAGAGTACCCTAAGAGGTGGCGGATAATGCTGTTGACTAGTTGCTCTCTTTCTACTCTGTCAGTTCTAAATTAGATATGGTTATGCGCAGATAACCCTGAATTAGGCTTGTGCGAAAATCTGAAACAGACAAACTTATTCTTATGCGTTATTATTATGTTGTGTGAGTGCCTAAGTTAATTAATAAATTAAACATGGTAACGAGCTTATTAACAACAAAAGATTTCACAAAGCTTAGAAATTCGATACGAAAGTTTTGGAAATGCACAATTTTTTATGGTTTTCATATCATTTACATGAATGTTTATAGGCGATAGATAAAAGACAGGGCAAAAGCGATCTTTTTGTTTCCGAACGCTTCAAAGATATTTCGTATTTTAAGCAGTGTGTGTGTGTGTTATTTTAATGTACTTGCAGTTACTTTAACTTTCTGTTGTCCTTCTTCTTTCTTTTTTTTCTTTTTTTTTTCGGGCGCTTATTTTTGTGAAAGCTAGCTTATAAATCTTGCTCCACTATTGCCTACTGCAAAAATATACATTCCCGGATGAGACGCGTGTCCTTTGTATCTTGGGTTAAGATGCGATGGGTGTGCATTGAATAAGAAGGAATACATGACCGCTTGCAATCGAAGCAGTGTTGTTCTCACGACTAACATGGCCTTAGAATTAAATCTCAAGAGTTTGTCATGATGAGGCTTAGTACACATCCGTGTCAAAAACGCGTAGTAGCTTGAAATAAACAACTTAATGTTACTGCGCGTAGACTGTCTGCTTTGGCACGTCACTGTAACTGTTTATTATATATATATATATATATA